GTATAAACATCAGAGGTTCGCGGTTGTTCAACGTCCTCCCAGCAAGCATAAGAAATATTGCCGGAACAACCGTGGACATTTTCAAGAGGAAACTAGATTTATTCCTCCAAGGAGTGCCGGACCAACCGGGCTGTGCTGGGTATGTGGGCCTGCGGGCCGCTCCAAGCAACAGCCTGGTGGACCAAACTCTCACAGTTCGAGCCTGGCCTCGGGCCGGGCTTGGGGAGTAGAAGAACTCCCAGAACCCCATCAACCAGGTATCAACCAGGTAACACCTCTCCCACACTCACACCTTTCCTCCCTATTACCCAATCTACCCCCTCTCCTGCCCGTCTTTCCTCTTTATTCCAATCTTTCCCTCTCGCCACCCTGCCTCTACTCCCCCCCCCCCCCGCCCCCGTCTTCACCGGGGGCTTCACTTCATTTACGGGGCCTGGTAGCCTGGTGGATAGCGCGCAGGACTCGTAATTCGGTGGCGCGGGTTCGATTCCCATACCAGGCAGAAACTAATGGGCAAAGTTTCTTTCACTCTGGATGCCCCTGTTACCTAGCAGTAAATTGGTACCTGGGAGTTAGTCAGCTGTCACGGGCTGCTTCCTGGGGGTGTGTGTGGGGTGTATGGAGAAGAAAAAAAAAGTAGTTAGTAAACAGTTGATTGACAGCTGAGAGGCGGGCCAAAAGAGCAAAGCTCAACCCCCGCAAACACAACTAGGTGACTACCTGTGTCCACCCGTTCTCCTTCCCTTTTATAAACAGGCCCCTCCCTCCTCCTGTCATCTCCCCCTCTCCCCCTTTCTCCTTTCCTACTATTCTCCTCCCTCCTTTCCCATTTTCCCTCTCTCCCGTCCTCCCTCACTCCCTTTCTTCCCCCATCCCTCCCTCCGTCCCTAGCCCCCCTCAGTTTCATTCCCTGGCCGCTATTCTCCTCTTCCTTCCGTTCTATCTCTCACTGGACCAGACACGCTCGAGTAACATTAAATTAGCATTATCGAGGTTGCCTCAACATTACTCCCTGAATAACCTCGGTGGGCCTTTGACCATCTTGCAGCAGGTGACACTGTTGTCACCGGGGCCAGGGGGCCTGGTAGGTTGATAGCGCGCAGGACTCGTAATTATGTGGCGCGGATTCGATTCCCGCACCAGGCAGAAATAATTGGGCAAAGTTTCTTTCACCCTGAATGCCCCTGTTACCTAGCAGTAAATAGGTATCTGGGAGTTAGTGAGCTGTCACGGGCTGCTTACTGGGGGTGAGTGTGTGTGGGGGGGGGGTAAAAAATAATATTAGTAAACAGTTGATTGACAGTTGAGAGGCAGGCCAAAAAAGCAAAGCTCAACCCCCGCAAACACAACTAGGTGACACTGCCAGCAGAGAGAGTTAGAAATAGGGAAATATCTGACCCCATGACCTTGTACGACTCGTAATTGTGAGGAGCGTCACTGAAAGATTGTTTGGAGACGTTCTTAGCTTTTAGATAGTAGTATATTGACTAGTAAGGAATTCTTGAAGCTAAAACACAAATATTCCGAGGCCTAGTATAGCACACATATGTACTATACTAGGCCGCAGATATCGTGTATTAGGCCAAGGGAGGTTAAGTTAGGTTAGTTTGTCAAAGCAACACAAGTAAAAAATAGTTTTCCGGTTTGTCCAACTCAATAGTTCAGTTTTCTACGTTCTAATTTCGTTGTACGTCGGTATATATATACTACGGTCTTCATCGTCACTATAAGTACTACCATAACAGAAGCATGGGCTGTTGTGGTACGTTGTGGCAGTCCCTGTGTGTGTGTCTGGTACATGGAGGCAGTCCCTGTGTGTGTGTCTGGTACATGGAGGCAGTCCCTGTGTGTGTGTCTGGTACATGGAGGCAGTCCCTGTGTGTGTGTCTGGTACATGGAGGCAGTCCCTGTGTGTGTGTCTGGTACATGGAGGCAGTCCCTGTGTGTGTGTCTGGTACATGGAGGCAGTCCCTGTGTGTGTGTCTGGTACATGGAGGCAGTCCCTGTGTGTGTGTCTGGTACATGGAGGCAGTCCCTGTGTGTGTCTGGTACATGGAGGCAGTCCCTGTGTGTGTGTCTGGTACATGGAGGCAGTCCCTGTGTGTGTGTCTGGTACATGGAGGCAGTCCCTGTGTGTGTGTCTGGTACATGGAGGCAGTCCCTGTGTGTGTGTCTGGTACATGGAGGCAGTCCCTGTGTGTGTGTCTGGTACATGGAGGCAGTCCCTGTGTGTGTGTCTGGTACATGGAGGCAGTCCCTGTGTGTGTGTCTGGTACATGGAGGCAGTCCCTGTGTGTGTGTCTGGTACATGGAGGCAGTCCCTGTGTGTGTGTCTGGTACATGGAGGCAGTCCCTGTGTGTGTGTGATACATGGAGGCAGTCCTTATATGTGTGTGGTACATGGTGGAGACAACCTATATGTGTGGTACTTTATGGACACAGTATATGTGGTACATGATGTATAATTAACCTGAGCTTAATGAGTTTTTCTTGTGTAAAAATGCGAGATTTCGTAAAGATTCAACACCTTCATAGATGCCGGTGATAAACTTCTAAATGTCTCTCAAGTGGGGTTTTTTCAGGGATATTCCTGCGCGGGCCCTAAGCCTCTGACTGGCCCACTAAGTGTTGCTTGTTTCTGTTTTACTTGGGCGGAGTATGAGTATTATGACTCGTATGGTCGCTTCAGTAAGATTTTGTCCCACGTGTTTAACAACTTCTTCTGCTCTGTTGAATCTAAGTTGAAATCTTAATGGGTTTGTAACTGTGCACTGTGTTAGATAATGTTCCAGTGGTCTGTCGGGCATTTTTCCACAGCGCTGACATTTCCTCTCATCTTCCGGAACCTGTAAGCCTATTTTCCATGCACATGGGTATCCAAGCCTGATGCAATGTAAGTGTACTTCTGTTGCTCTACTGTTCCCTTTCATCAACCTAAGTGGTTCGTAGTTGGTTGAATTCTTGTACCAACCCGCAGATCCTGATGTTGCAACTGCTGTGTTGTGGTCACTGTACATCTTTTGTATTGCTCTGTTTCTAATTACTTTCTTAATCTGTGATAGACTCTGTGGTATGTAAATGTCTTCATTTCTTCTCTTAGTTGCAAGTTTTGCAGCTTCGTCTGCAATGTCATTTCCTATTATTCCTCCATGACTTGGCATCCAGTTGATAAGTACCCGTCGGCCTTGTCGTTTGAGTGTTTGCATTAATGATATGACATTTGTGATCAGATGTATGTTATCACATATGTGTTCTTGTTGCAAGGTTTCAATGGCGGTTCTCGAATCTGTATGTATGATAACATGTTGTCAGTGTTGAGCAAGAGCTTGTTCCAAAGCCTTTTGAATAGCTAGCATCTCTGTTTGTAAAGTCGAACACCCATTTGAGAGCCTCCAACTATTTACAGAGTTTCCTGCCTTAACTGCAGCTCTGGTTTTTTGTCCCTGCTGGTCTACTGATCCATCTGTGAAGTATGTGAAGCTGTCGGATGCCATGTTTGCTTCTGTATGCATCTGTGCAATGTTACGTAGCAGATGAGGATTTGTCTGGTTCCTTTTTCCTTCAATAACCATAATCTTAAAGTCTGCTGGCGGAGATTCCCAAGGGGATTACATAACAAAGTCTGCATGTATTTCGTCGACACCCTTCTCAGTGACTGTGTTCGTTATATCGAATGTATTGATGGTGTTTATCGCACAATGGGTCCACCTGTTGCTATTGGAGGCTCTTCTGTCCAGAGTTAGTGCTCCAGTGATTATATCTGTAAGTGAACTTATACCAAGATATTGACTAGGTCTAGTCAATATTTTGGTCAGCATGCACGCAGGAATCCCTTTTACTCTTATTTCAATCGACATTAGCTTAGTTTCTGGTCCTAGGTTCAGTATTTTAGTCCATCTGGGAGCTCCTGTTATGATTCGCAATGCATCATTTTGAATAACCTCAACGTTTGCCCACTGACCAGGAGAAAGAGTGAGTAAGGCAGGCGCTGCATAATCAACTAGGGAACGAACGGCGTGTATGTAAAACATTCTTAACACTTTGTGTCCCGCTCCTAGACGGGGCCCTGTGATTGCTCTCATTATATTTAGTCGTGATTTTGCTTTCTCCTTCAGATATTGAATTTGCTTGTTGAATGTCATTTTAGAATCTATCCACACTCAGAGATATTGATATTGTGTAACCCACTGAAGGTTAATGTCTTGCATTTAGAAGTGAATGGACAACACACGCTTCCAAGATGTAGGAATTTTCCATCACACCAAACCTTGTAGACTTTGTAAACTTGTAGACTTACAGACTTCGGATTAGTCAGTAACCGTGAGATTGTGCATCACTCGGAATGTAGCAAGCAGTAGTGTGGACTCTAAAAGAGAACGGCCATGGTATTGAGCAAACACATTAACTATGTCGGAACGAATCGGAGCAAAATAAATTTGTTCTGTAGCATTACCAACATAACTGCTTGCGACATGATTAGATTTAATTTGGAGATAGACTCCACCCTGGAGAGGACTGACCTCTAAACCGAATTTGATGCTAACTTGTTTGGATAGACCGGTTCTTCAGCTGTGTAACCGATTCACTGCACATGTAAACTGACTGTATAGTGACTGTTGTTGTCCGCTTCTTGAATCACTTGGGACATATAAGACTAGTGATATATATATGTACATGTATTTGTGTAAAAGAAAAAGATACTTTTGTAACTAGTTCACAAAATTGTTACTTAGCTAAGTGAACTGTGGGGGGTTCAGTCCCTGAACTGTGGGGGTTCAGTCCCTGAACTGTGGGGGTTCAGTCCCTGAACTGTGGGGGTTCAGTCCCTGAACTGTGGGGGTTCAGTCCCTGAACTGTGGGGTTCAGTCCCTGAACTGTGGGGGTTCAGTCCCTGAACTGTGGGGGTTCAGTCCCTGAACTGTGGGGGTTCAGTCCCTGAACTGTGGGGGGGTTCAGTCCCTGAACTGTGGGGGTTCAGTCCCTGAACTGTGGGGGTTCAGTCCCTGAACTGAATGATAACCTCAGCAATGATAACCTCAACAATGATAACCTCAACAATGATAACCTCAACAATGATAACCTCAACAATGATAACCTCAACAATGATAACCTCAACAATGATAACCTCAGCAATGATAACCTCAACAATGATAACCTCAGCAATGATAACCTCAACAATGATAACCTCAGCAATGATAACCTCAGCAATGATAACCTCAGCAATGATAACCTCAGCAATGATAACCTCAACAATGATAACCTCAACAATGATAACCTCAACAATGATAACCTCAGCAATGATAACCTCAACAATGATAACCTCAGCAATGATAACCTCAACAATGATAACCTCAACAATGATAACCTCAACAATGATAACCTCAGCAATGACAACCTCAACAATGATAACCTCAGCAATGATAACCTCAACAATGATAACATCAGCAATGATAACCTCAACAATAATAACCTCAACAATGATAACATCAGCAATGATAACCTCAGCAATGATAACCTCAGCAATGATAACCTCAGCAATGATAACCTCAGCAATGATAACCTCAACAATGATAACCTCAACAATGATAACCTCAGCAATGATAACCTCAGCAATGATAACCTCAGCAATGATAACCTCAGCAATGATAACCTCAGCAATGATAACCTCAATGATAACCTCAACAATGATAACCTCAACAATGATAACATCAGCAATGATAACCTCAACAATAATAACCTCAACAATGATAACATCAGCAATGATAACCTCAACAATGATAACATCAGCAATGATAACCTCAACAATGATAACATCAGCAATGATAACCTCAACAATGATAACCTCAGCAATGATAACCTCAGCAATGATAACCTCAGCAATGATAACCTCAACAATGATAACCTCAACAATGATAACCTCAACAATGATAACCTCAGCAATGATAACCTCAGCAATGATAACCTCAGCAATGATAACCTCAGCAATGATAACCTCAACAATGATAACCTCAACAATGATAGCCTCAGCAATGATAACCTCAGCAATGATAGCCTCAGCAATGATAGCCTCAGCAATGATGACCTCAGCAATGATGACCTCAGCAATGATAACCTCAACAATGATAACCTCAGCAATGATGACCTCAACAATGATGACCTCAACAATGATAACCTCAACAATGATGACCTCAACAATGATGACCTCAACAATGATAACCTCAGCAATGATAACCTCAGCAATGATAACCTCAGCAATGATAACCTCAGCAATGATAACCTCAGCAATGATAACCTCAACAATGATAACCTCAACAATGATAGCCTCAGCAATGATAACCTCAGCAATGATAGCCTCAGCAATGATAGCCTCAGCAATGATGACCTCAGCAATGATGACCTCAGCAATGATAACCTCAACAATGATAACCTCAGCAATGATGACCTCAACAATGATGACCTCAACAATGATAACCTCAACAATGATGACCTCAACAATGATGACCTCAACAATGATGACCTCAACAATGATAACCTCAGCAATGATAACCTCAACAATGATAACCTCAGCAATGATAACCTCAGCAATGATAACCTCAGCAATGATAACCTCAGCAATGATAACCTCAGCAATGATAACCTCAACAATGATAACCTCAGCAATGATAACCTCAGCAATGATAACCTCAGCAATGATAACCTCAGCAATGATAACCTCAACAATGATAACCTCAGCAATGATAACCTCAACAATGATAACCTCAGCAATGATAACCTCAACAGTGATAACCTCAACAATGATAACCTCAACAATGATAACCTCAGCAATGATAACCTCAGCAATGATAACCTCAGCAATGATAACCTCAACAATAAAGACCAGTTACCCCAGATGACGTACTGAACTAATATGTATACAAGTGTACTAAGGTAAGGTGTACTAAGGTAATGTGTACTGAGGTAAGGTGTACTAAGGTAAGGTGTACTAAGGTAAGGTGTACTGAGGTAAGGTGTACTAAGGTAATGTGTACTAAGGTAATGTGTACTAAGGTAAGGTGTACTAAGGTAAGGTGTACTAAGGTAATGTGTACTGAGGTAAGGTGTACTAAGGTAATGTGTACTAAGGTAATGTGTACTAAGGTAAGGTGTACTGAGGTAATGTGTACTGAGGTAATGTGTACTAAGGTAATGTGTACTAAGGTAAGGTGTACTAAGGTAAGGTGTACTAAGGTAAGGTGTACTAAGGTAAGGTGTACTAAGGTAAGGTGTGCTAAGGTAATGTGTACTGAGGTAATGTGTACTAAGGTAATGTGTACTGAGGTAAGGTGTACTAAGGTAATGTGTACTAAGGTAAGGTGTACTAAGGTAATGTGTACTAAGGTAATGTGTACTGAGGTAAGGTGTACTAAGGTAATGGGTACTAAAGTACCCACCATATGACTTGTCTTGCCCAATGGCTCCCCAAGGCATTCCCTTGCCCAATGGCTACCCAAGACAAAGGAAGCCACAGTCTTCCTCCACCCCCCCCCCCCCCATCTCCCAGCCTGTAGGCCTATACCTGCCTGCCTACCCGCAACCTGTAATTTATCCCAGACAAAAAAATAACAGTAGTGAAAAAAGGCAGAGTGTGAGAACTTTCTTTGTTGTGTCGGCTGGAGGGTCTCCAGGACGTATTTGAAGTGTCAGTTTTCAGCCATTTATTGATGCCAGTTTTGTTTTCACTCGACTGTCATTTATTTGAATTTATATATAATATTATTTGTGAAATATCTCTGAAGATAGTATATATATGTGTGTGTGAGGGAGAGAGAGAGAGAGCCAACATCCTCAAAGTTCCGACCTGGTCCAACTCCGTGGACTACCAGTAGTTGCCACTCGTAGCGCTAGGCTCTCAACCTTCAACAGTCTGATGCCTTTCTCAAAAACATCACTAAATCAACGATCATTCATTCCGAGGCTTACTCGCATCTGTAACGTGTTCGTTCAACAAGTTTATATATATTATATATATATATATATAATATATATATATATATGAATACATAATATGCATACATTCCAGTTACATTCTTGTACAGCCACTAGGACGCATAGAGTTTCAGGCAGGTCCTGAATCCTAATTTTTCCCTGGAATACGACCTGCCAAATCGTTTAACAACCAGGTACCCATTCACTGCTGGATGAACAGAGGCTACAGTTAAGGACTGGCGCCCGGTCAATCCTTCTCTAGTGGACTTATATACTGTGACTCGCAGAGTGCACTCCTGGCATTGAACGCACATAGTAGTGACACCCAGAAAATAGTCAGTGATACTCGAATGAATGTTTTAGCTGCTAAAGAAAACAGATTTGAAATTAAATTCCTATGGATACCATCACATGTTGGCATCTCAAGGCATAACACTGTTGATATGCTTGCAAAGACAACCTGTAGAAAACCAGTGGTAGAAATTGATATGGGTGTTTCATTAGCAGTGACAAAGACAATACTTAAACAAATATCTAATGAAGATCTCACCGACCTAACAAATTCTCAAAGACCTGAAAGTTGTAGCATTAAATATTATGATTAATATCGTGAGGAGACATTCACATATGGGACTAATAGAACAAGAACCCGGCAATGTGATGTTATAGTGGCCAGAATACGCCTGGGATATAGACGTATCTGGCAGCTTTTTCAAAACCCAAATGTCGAGTACACAATGTGTCAACTTTGTGAAAGAGAAAACATGCACTCTCTTGAACATTATATTGTAGAATGTCCTATATTGACTGACTTTCGCCCTCCTGGGCTAAGGTATGCTGAACTGTGTAATTACTATATGAGTACTGGAACACTTGATGATATATTGGACTTGTACCCAAGATTAACCATGTAATGTATCAATTATACAATGTATATATATGATGTAACTATGTAACCTGAACTTGTTTCTACTCTAGAGAAACAAGCTCAGGATAGAGAAACTCTAACCTGAGTTTCTCTATCAGCTATCTCATTCTGTCAGAGTAAAAAGAGACAAATGTGTGTGAATATATGTATGTATATGGACGTATATACGTGTGAATATATATATATATATATATATATATATATATATATATATATATATATATATATATATATATATATATATATATATATAATGTGTGTGTAAAGTATATATGGAAGCTGATCAGAATTACATTTCACCTTTGTAAATCCACATTAATGACACTATGTAAAAGACACATCGAACACTTTATGTAGCATACATAAATCTGTGTATGTATTTACGTATGTAGGTTAGCCTAGCATTTTAAAAGCACTATAATCACCTTCTGTGATTGAATGTTCAATAAACCCTTGAACTATATGTTTAACACATCTCTAACCCTGTCCATGGAGGACAGAAGAAAATGTATATATGCTGGTTAGCATTGTAAATGTGTGGCCACGTCTGTGGTAGAAAATAATAATAATAATAATAAAAATCCTTCCCGGCCAGGATACGAACCCAGGCCAAAGCGCTCGCGAAGCTCCGGGCGAGAGTCTTACCACTGCACCACGGGGACTATATGATAGTTCCTTAAGGGTAGTTCCTTATGTGATAGTTTCAAAGTGCATTCTCATGAAATAAATAAGTTTCTAGGAGCAGGCTTCAGATGAGCTGAGGTAGGATAACAGCTCTTGCTTGCACTTTCACTATATACGTCATTTGATCCATATGAACCCTAGTCAGTTAAAAAGAAAGTGTTTGCGTGTGTAGGTGTACACACCTAGTTGTGCTTGCGGAGGTTGAGCTTCGGCTCTTTGGTCCCGCCTCTCAACTGTCGATGAACCGGTGAACATTACATCACTGTCTAATTTATTCCACTTGTTAACTACCCTGACACTGACAAAATTATTTCTAATGTCTCTGTAGCTCATTTGAATACTCAGTTTCCACCCCTTGTTCGTGTTCCACCAATGCTAAATAATTTGTCTTTGTTCACCCTGTCAACTCTGGCTGTGGATCAGTTTTTGTTGGGTCTTGGCTTTACTTGTGATGTCATTTTCATACTGTCTCTCTGTTTCTCTCCTCACTCTGAGGTAGTCATTCCTGGCCCTCTGGTCCCACCCCCTGCTCTCTGATCTTCTGTTATTTCTATAGTTCCTCCATGTTCTTGTACTCACTTGCTTCGCTACCTTACATGGGCATCTCCCCGTTCTGTACACATATACATTCCAACTTTGCATTATTTCTTCTGCTTCCTTAATACAGCTTATTCTATTAATTTTAAGTTACCGCAAAATATATTTCATGAAATATAAAGGGAGCAATATATATATAATATATAATATATATATTGTTATATGTGTGTGTGTTCTCTGTAAACTGTAGCAATACAATAAAATAAAAATAAAAATATATATAAAAAATAATGGGGGTGGTAGGAGAAGAAAAGATTAAAGTGTTCAGTGAGAATCTACAAGGTCTTCTCTGAATACTCTTTATTTTCTTCTTCGAGGATGCAGAACACACATATACTAGCTGTACCCGGCCACGCGTTGCTGTGGCTCAGCAACGCTTGTGTGTTGCTGAGCCACAGCAACCTTCCCCTGTCTCCCAGCCCTCCCCTCCATTCCCCTCTCTCCCGTCCTCTCGTCCTCCCCACAATTCCCCACTCCTTCATCCGATGCATTCCCAAATGATGTGATGTTCCCATCAGAAAATTGGGAACATCAAATGATCTGATGTCCCCATCACTGAAAAATATGAAGAACAGTTAAAAAACGAAATAATAACAATGAAAAAATGAACTATACTCCCGAAATGAACGGTATGGTAAACACAGCTCAATTCCAACGCAATGTCCCACAAAATAATTAAATAAAAATGAAAATAAATCGAAATCTATGAAAATTCTATTTGCCAATGCAATTGGAAACTGAAATGTAATCATAACATATTTAGTATAGCGTGTGTTGTCATTACGTGCATCAAAAGAAGCATGTTTTTTCCTGTCACAGGTGAGCATGTAAATAAAATGTATATAAAAACATACGCGTATTCGAATGCAACATTGTGTCAAAATTTCAAAGCAATCGGTAAAGAGGTTTCACAGATTTCCCTCACATGAAAAACACTTGAAAAAACAGTTCTTAAAAGCAATCCGTGAAGAATTTTCGGAGATTTGCGATTTTGAACAAACGAACATTTACAGTTTTATTTATATAGATAATGCCCCGCAACTTTGATGAGCCTGTCGGTCTCCCAGACGGGATCACGGTGAACCCCTGGAAGAATGGTAGACAGTTGGTGTGGGACTACACTTGCGTTTCAACTTTAGTCAACACCTATGTTGACTTCAGTGCTGCACAGGCAGGAGGTGTTGCCAATCCCCGGGAAGCAGCTAAGTCGCGTAAATACAGAGATCTTGATCACCACTACAGTTTTGTCCCCATTGCCTCAGACACACTTGGTGCCTGGGGTAAAGGTGCTGCTAGTTTTTTGAAGGAGTTGGGTTCCAAGCTAATTGAAACAACTAAAGACCCTAGAGATTCAAGTTACCTCTTTCAGTGCCTTAGTGTGGCGATCCAGAGAGGAAATGTTCACTGCATCCAAGGTTCCTGCCCGCCATCTGAGGAGCTGGAGGAACTCTACAACCTGTGAGGCCTTGTACCCTGCATGTAACCAATGTTGTAACACTTTTTGTGTAATGAAATTTTAAAATAAAGTGAGATTATATATATATATATATATATATATATATATATATATATATATATATATATATATATATAATATGCGAACAAGCCTGAATGGTCCCCAGGACAATATGCAACTGAAAACTCACTGAGTCACTTCTGGGGTGTGAGTTTTCAGTTGCATATTGTCCTGGGGACCATTCAGGCTTGTTCACATTTGTGTTCCTCAC